TACATAAAACTTGGGGGACACAATTCAAGCTTCAATGAGTTTGGGGGGACATAATTCAATCCAACTTCACAAGGCAGGCATTATTCATCTGGACTTTACTGAGGCACAGAGAAGTTGAGTAACTAGACCAACGTTGCACAGCCCAGAGGCAGGGGTGGGTTATGAATTCTGGTCTTTGTGACTCCATAGCTTAACCATGTTGCTGCCTCTCACTCTTGAATACAGTCAGACTCATTTTCCTGAAGACCAACTCTGGTCATTTTATGATGCCATTCCCTAAAAACATCACTGTATGGCCAATAGAGGTCACACACTCTTTGCTAAACTTTTTTTTAAATTGTGTTATAATACGCAAAACTTAAAATTTACCATTTTAACCACTTTAAAGCATATGATTTAATGGCATTTGGTACTTTCACAATGTTATACAACCACCACCTCTATCTAGCTCCAGAACTTTTTCATCACCCCAAAAGGAAACCTCATACCCATTAAGCATTCATTTCTCACTCTCTCCTGTCCCCTCAATACCTGACATCCACCAATCTACTTTCTGTCTCTATGAGACTGACTACTCTAAGTACCCCCATATAAGTGGAATCATCTACTATGTGGTCTTTTGTGTCTGTCTTCTTTCACTTAGCATAATGTTTTCAAGGTTCACTTATATTGTAGCATGTGTCAGTACTTCATTCCTTTTTATGGCTGAATAGTATTTTATTGTATGGATAGACCACTTTTTTAAAATAGGTTCATCCATTGATAGACATTTGGGTTGTTTCCACTTTTTGGCTGAGGTCACAGCCTTTTGGCCCACATTCAAAGCTGTATAAAATCCAGTTCTAATACACCATCTGGTCCATGCCTCATGGCCACCTCCAAATTCATGCAGGTTGAGCTTCAGTTAAACCTAAGAGATCCTAGTACGAGAAACCAAATCAAAAAATAATACCCCACACCTCTAGAGCACATTCCAGGCACTAGGCATGGTCCTATGTGCTTTCTTCATAATAATCCTCATCACCCTCATTTTACGAGTGAGGATACTGTGGCACAGAGAGGGAGAGTAACTTGCTTGGGGTCACACAGCCAGTAAGGTGCAGAGAAGAATTTAAACCTAGGCAGTCTTGATCCCAAGCTGTGTTCTTAACCATGATTCTATAATGCTTGAAGCAGCTCAGACAGATGAGGTCATTCCTGCCTCATTCCTTCACTTGATGTATTATTATTATCCTATTTTTAAAGAAGAGAAAATTAAGCTCAGAGAGGGAATCAGCACTGACAGAGTGTGGCATTGTAGGTATCAGTCCTGACAGGGCCACTTACTAGACTTTGGATCCAGCTCCTGAATGGTTCAGCTTCCTTCTCTGAACGATGCACTTGACTATTCGACACGGCCCTTGCAGTTTGAAAACAGCCATAGGCAATACATAATGAGAGGGCGAGACTGCGTTTTGATAAAATTTTATTTACAAAAGCAGGCATCGGGAATTAACCCAAATGTCCATCAACTGATGAATTGATAAATAAAATGTGGCCTATTCATGCAATGGAATGTTATTTAGCCATGAAAAGGAATGAAGCCCTGATACATGCTACAACACGAATTGCCCTTGAAAACATGATGCTCAGTGAAACAAGCTGGACACAAAATCCTCATAGGGTTTGGTTCTATTTATATGAAATGTACAGAAAAAGCTGATTTCCCAGGACCACAGCAAGGAGGGGGACAAGCTGGAGGAAAATGGGGAGCGACTGCTCAAGGGTACAGGATTTGGAAGTTACGGCTAATGGTGGGTGCAGGGTTTCTTTTCAGAGTGACGAAAATGTTCTAAAACTGATTGTGGTGCTGGTTGCACAACTCTGTAAAGGGACAAAAAAATATTGACTTGTACACTTCTAATGGGTAAATTTTAAGTAATGTGAATTATATTTTAGTCAAGTAGGTATTAAAAAAACAAGTTCAGAAACAACAATAACAGGCAGTGAGATGTAATTTGCCACCCCCTGATATAAAGTATGTAAGGTGCCTACATCACAGTGACGCTAAATATACAAAAAAGATGGCAAAGGAGCGGTGGCTTCTCTCCCAACCTAACTCTGCTACTGTGCAAGTTCTTTAAGCTTTTAGATTTACCTTCTGACCCACATGGTGAGGCCTTCAATGGTCTGCCCCCATTTACTGCCATAAGTCCTAAGTGCACACCACGGCCCACCCTGGGCTCTGCCCTTATTTGCTCCCAGTCCCCCTGCCTTGTGATATTGTAATTTTTCCCCCTACATATGGCTTCATCTTTCATGGCCCCTTGGACTCAACACTCTGAACCCTGTCTGCACCCCTGACCTCTGTTTTGCCTCCTGGACAACACTTCCTCTGGACGGACGACATCAGAGATCCTAGGTAAATTACCTGACTCCGTGCATGCCTGGGGTCTTTGTGGGAAGCTTATATGGAAAAAAAAAATTGTTTTTTTAACACTTAGTATGTGCCAGGCCCATGCAGAGTGGAGGAAACCTGAAAGATGAATCTGACATGCCCAAACCTCTACATAAATTCACAGTCTGACGGGGGATACAGACAAGTAACAGATCGTTATAACACAGTATGAATCAATATTGTCCTGAGGGAGGGGGCAATGAGGACAGTGCAAAAGAGAAGGTGCTTGGGAATCCAGGAGGACGTCTCGGAGGAGGAGTGGCTGGGGGGGAGCTTATCGAATCTGCTGATCTGGGAGGATCTATCATGTTGCCTTTTGTGATTCGATTTGTATGTTGTTGCTTTCCTCAGGTTTGCTGAGCCTCCAGGTTTTGAATGGTAAGTTTGGTGACTGTGCTATGTGGCCCCACAATTTGTGTTCATGCCTGTGCAGAGAAGTATAGAGTTATGAGCTTTTATTACGTTGGAAGAGTTTTTAGATATCATCAAACCTTACACTCTGTATTGTCATCATCATGAGCATAAGTGTTTGTTTTTTAATTCACTCAAGAAATATTAATTAATTTTAACTGCTCTGTACTAAGTCTGATTCTAAGTGTTGGAGATAGAGCATGGATTAAAACAGACAAAAATCTGCCCAAATGGAATTTGTATTCCAATGAGAGGAGAAAGAAAGAAAAGAAATAGAGAAGTGGGTTATGTCTGTGGATACTGTTATGTCCTGTGAAGATAATAGAGTGAAGGAGACAAAAATGTAGTGTGGGAGGAGGTAGGTTAGAGGAGAAAGAAAGAAAAGAAATAGAGAAGTGGGTTATGTCTGTGGATACTGTTATGTCCTATGAAGATAATAGAGTGAAGGAGACAAAAATGTAGTGTGGGAGGAGGTAGGTTTTTAAAGGGCAACCAGGGAAGGTGACATTTGAGCAAAGACTTGAAGAAGATGAGGGAGCCAGACGTGTGTATATCTGGGGAAGGGCACTGCAGGCACAGGGAACAGCATGTGCAAAGGCCTTGAGGAAGGAGAGTGCCTGGGATCAAGGGACACTAAGGAGGCGCATTGCATTTCCTTCCCTCCTCAACCGAGGCACCGAGAAGCCATGTTCACAGTTTGGTTTCTACCCATTTCATAATGTACTGATGATTTCTTTTCTTCTTTTTATTTCCTTCACCTCCTTCCTTCCTTCTTTCCTCTCCTTTTCCTTCCTTCCCTCCTCCTCTTCCCTCTGCTCCTCCTCTTTCTCCTCCTGCTCTTCTTCCTTTCTTCCATCCTTCCTTCATTTCCTTCCTCTTCCTTCTTTTTTTTCTCCTTCTTCATTTTTAGAAGAAACGAATGACTGCAAGGAAACAGGTGAGTGCGTGGACTCACGCCTTTTCCCATCTAGAGAACACTGAGTTCCTTCAGTCTAGGTGACAATGGAGCTTTTTTTTTCCTTTTTGTCTTTTTTCGTGTCCGGCAACGGATCACAACCCTCAGTGTCGCGCCCGTACCGGACCGGGACCGGCAACGGGATCGCAACCCTCAGTGCTGCACCCGCACCTCGCTCAGCCAGTGAGCGGGAACCAGTCTGTATGTGGGATCTGAACCCTCGGCGGGAGCGCTGCTGCGCTCCCAAGCAGCACACTGTAGCAGTGCGCCACCGGGCTGGCCCACAATGGAGCTTTAAGAAGAGAAGATTTCAGGCCAGCAAGGCCAGGGGCTGAGTACCCAACGGGCTGTCTTCTTGAAGGGCGTCCGAAGCCTTCAAACCACCTCGCTCGCCCCTTGAGTACTGCTCATTGATATCAGCGAGTTCACAGATACTGAGGTATGATGGAAAACATTTTTACTTATCTCAGTCGCTTCTTCTGTTGACCATTGAACCCTGTTCTTCCCCTTGGAAATTACCAGGTAAGTCTTGAGTGACAAGACTGTGTGGCTGAAAAGCAAGAGAAAGAAAACCAGATAATAGAGTCAAACCTCCAAGTGATCCAGATATTGGAAATAAGCACCTTTAAAATAGCTAGGATTATTACATTCAAAAAAATAGATGAATAATATCACCAGAGAATTATAATCTGTAAAAAGTATAAATATTCTGGAGTTAAAAATAGGCAACAGAAATTAAGAATTCAGTAGTTGGGCTTAACAGCAAAAAGAATAATTAGTGAGTTATGAAAAACAGGTCAAGAGAAATTATTCAAGTTGAAGCCCAATAGATAAAAAAAATAAAAATACTGGAAAAAAGCACTAAAAACATGAGACTCAGTGACAAGTTGTAATGTTTGTGGAATTAAAATTTCAGAAGGAGAAGAGAAAAAGAGTACTTAAAGAGTTAAGGTCTTGCACAAGCAAAGCTACCAAACAAACAAAAAGAGTTCATGTCTGAGAATTTCGCATATTGGAAAAAACAACAACAACAACAAGCCACAGATTTTTAAAATTCTGAGAACCCCAAAGGAAACGAATATACAGAAAATCACTTCTAGAAACAATGCCACAAAATGCTTAAAAACCAAGGACAAAAAGAAAAATTTTAAAACAACACTCCCCCCAGCAAAAACAAAAAAGATATGTATTTGTTTCCTAGATCTGCCATAACAAATTATTATAAAGTGTGTGGCTTAAAACAGCAAGAATTTACTGTCTTACTTTTCTGAAGACTAGAAGCCTGAAACCCAGTATTGGCAGGGCCCTCCTTGCCTCTTTCTAGTTTCTGGTGGTGGCTGAGAGCAATGCTGGGACTGCCTGGCTCACAAATGCATCGAATCTCTGCCTCCGTAATGACACGGAATTCTTTTTGCATGTTCTATGTCCAAATTTTCCTCTTTTTTTATCAGGACACCAACAATATTATATCTGCAAAGATCCTATTTCCAAATAGACTCACATTGATGGGTGCTGGGATTAGGACTTGAACATGTCTTTTTGGGAAACACAGTTCAACCCACAACAGACATGTTACCATCCAAGGATTAAAGAAGAGCAGCAGCTGCCTCTCAACAGAAGTGATAAAGCCAGATAATGAAATGAGATTTTTAAAGTGTTGAAAAAGACTACTCGGGCCGGCCCGTGGCTCACTCGGGAGAGTGCGGTGCTGATAACACCAAGGCCACGGGTTCAGATCCTACATAGGGATGGCCGGTTTGCTCACTGGCTGAGCGTGGTGCTGACAACACCAAGTCAAGGGTTGAGATCCCCTTACCGGTCATCTTTTTAAAAGAAAAAAAAAAAAAGAAAAAGACTACTCAGCTAGAATTTCCTAACAACAAAAAACTTTCCTTTAAAAATGAATGCAAAATAAAGATTTTTAGAAAAAACATCAAAACGTATAATTTGTTACCAGTAGACTTGCGTTTATGAAATACTAAAAGAAGTTCTTCAGTCAGAAAGTAAATGACTCCATGTGGAAGCATAAAAACAGAGAACAGAATAAAGTGATGGAAAAAGTGAATATGTGGCTAAATACAAATGAATATTAAGTGTATGAAACAATAATACTAGCATTAGTAAGAATTAAATATATAGAGAAGATTTATTATAATAAAAGTGCCAAAGGTAGGTAGAGGATAAAAGATGTTAAAGCATTCTAATTTAATTTAATTCTAATTTTGCATTCATTTTTAAAAGTTTTTTGTTGTTGTTAGGTAGAGAATTCTACGTTAACAGTACTTTTCTTTCAGAACTTAAAAAATCTGATTCCATAATCTCCTGGCTTTTATCACTTCTGTTCAAAGGTGTCTGTTCTCTTTGCTCCTTGAATGGTAAAGGAAATAGTAAAAAAAAAAAAAAAAAGTTTATATTGAAACATCATACATTGAGGATGCATATTATAATCTCTAACTTTACTAAAGTAACGGTTAAAGACTATATAATTTTTAAACTAAAAATTCAAAACAAAGGAATGAAAATATTTGATCGTAGGAAAGAATTCAAGAAAGAAAAAAGAGACTGGGGTGACAATACTGGTTTTTAAAAACTCCAATAAAATTTGATTAAAATGGTAAAAGAAAAGAAAAGAAAGATCATAGTATAGATGCATCAAATAAAAAACGAAGAGTGAGAAGGTAGATATAAACCCAATTACATCAGCAAATGTCACTGAATTTACATGCATCTGTCATTCTCTTTTTCGTTGCTGTTATTCTGAATAAAGACCAAGAGTGTTAGACTGAATAAAAACCAACAAAACCCAACTAGTTACTGCTTACCAGAGACACACCTTATAAGGATACAGAATGGTTGAAAGATAAATAACAGAAATTATATCATTAAAAGTATATCCTCAAGCTTCTAACCAAAAGCCAACTGGCATAACCTTTCTAACATCAGACAAAGAACGTTCTAAATTAAGAAGCATTCCTAGGGCCGGCCCTGTGGCTCACTCAGGAGAGTGCAGTGCTGGTAGCGCTGATGTTGTGGGTTCGGATCCTATATAGGGATGGCCGGTGCTCTCACTGGCTGCAAACAACACCAAGCCAAGGGTTACGATCCCCTTACCGGCCAAAAAAAAAAGGAAGCATTCCTAGAGAGAAAGAGAGACACTGAGATGGATAGAGGGGTTAACCCATCAGAAAAACACAGACGTTCTAAATCTGTTTTCACACAGCTTCATAGTTTTTACATATATGGAAAAAAAATTGGCAAAACTGAAAGAAAACAAATAAATCTACGATCACAGTGGGAGACTTTAACGCATCTCTCAACAGATGATAGAACAATAAACAAAATTTAATAAGAATATAAAAGATCTAAACGACACAACTAACAAACATGACCTAAGTGACATGTATAGCACCTGCACACGACATTGACAGAATTCACAGTCTTTTCAAGTGAACATGGAATTTCTTCTTACCAAAATTGACTATGCAGTGGTCCATAAAGCAAGCCCCAGTCAATTTCAGATTAAAGTCATTTAGAGTGTGCTCTTGGAGTACAATGGAATTAGGCTATACGCCAATAATAAAATTATCGCAAAATCCAAACTTATAAATTAATAGATATACTTCTAAATAATCCATAGGTTAAAGAAGAAATCACAGAAACAATTAGGAAGAATTTTTAACTGAATGATAGTAAAAATATCACTACCAAAACCTGGAGGATACAGTCAAAGATTTGGTTATAGAGAAAATTATAATCTTAAATGCATATTTTAAAAGGAAGAAAGGAAAATAGAAAGGCAGAAAATCAATGAATTGAGTACTTTGAAAATTTAGAAAAAGACAAATCTAAGTAGAAAAAAGGAAATAAAAGAGTAGAAATTAAGGAAAAAGAAATACATTAGAAATAAACAACACCACTAACAGTTGGTTCTTTTGAAAAAACTAATAAAAATTTAGCTCTCTAGCATTACTGATAAAAAAAAATAGAGGAAAAACAAATGACCAATATGAGGAAGAAAAAAAGAGAACATTATTTCAGATCTTGCAGGTAATAATAATATTATAGCTTGAAAAACTTTTTGCCAATAAAATGGAAAGTTTAGATAAAATGGACAAAATTCTAGGAAACACAAATTATCAAAAGTTAAACCAAAAAATAAAAATAAAAATCTGAATAGTCTTCTATTAAAAAAAAAATCTGTAATTAAATAACCTTTCCATAAAAAACCTTCCAGGGTTAGCTGGCTTTCCTGGTAAATTCTTTCAGACATTTAAGGAGGAAATCACACTGATCTTACACAAAATTACAGTCATTTTCCAACTCATTTTGAGGACAGAATCAAGGGATAAAGGATCTGACAAGTACAATGTGAGAGTGGAAAATTTCAACTCATTCTTTCCCACAAATGTAGATGTAAAATCCTACATTAAATATTAGCAAATCCGATTTGGCAATATATTTTTAAAAATTATGACCACATTGAGTTTATTCCAACAATGCAACAGTGGTTTAATATGTGAAAAATCAATATATGTTATTCCTATCTTATTAACATAAAAGGGAAAAAATCACATTACCATCTCCATAGATACAGAAAAATAATGACAAAATTCAACAGTTATTCATGATTTTTAAAAATCTCAGCAGGAATAAAAGGAGACATCTTAAATGTTGACCTAAAAGAAATTGAGGCTGAACATTTAAAACACGGGATTCATTAAATCAATATGATGATTGCAACTGGGGAAATGCAAATTTCAGGTCACTCTAAGAAATGCACTCCGAAGAGGCCACCTGATCTCATCAGTTTATAATCAAAAGAAGGAGGAAGAATCAAAGGAGAGAAAGAGGACAGCCCTGCCTAATCACTTAATCAGTTTTTCTATTGGTTGTACATGATGCATAGATTTGGGATTGTTACTAGGGTATATCATACATGTAAGGATCAAGAATAAGGATTACAAGAAGCACTCCAGGTTACTCTATGACTTTCTGATGCTATTGCATCTGCTCCTAAGTAAAAACAGTATTTTAATAACATTTTCCAGGACATGCTAATGTGACTGCTGACTTATCTCAGATCCCCCAAGGCACTGCAATTTAGCTGACTTAGTCAGAGCACATTTTTTGTTCTTGTTATCATGCAATAAAAAGTAGCTACAAAAAACATAAAGAAAACAACCTATTTAATGCTGAAATAGCAAATACTTTCCCCCAAGATCATAAATGAGATAAACACTTTTGCTATCACCACTTGTATTTCACATTGTACTGGATTTTCTAACCAGTGCAAGTCCTATTCAGGCCAAAGAAAGGAAGTAATAGGCACAAGGATTGCAAAGGAAGAAAGAAAATTCTCTCTCTTTTTTAAATAGAGCTGATTGTGTACCTAGAATATACCTTTGACTGGGAGGGTATACCTGAGAGGCTTATGATAAGCTGGTGGTGGCAAATAGAATTAAAAACAAAATGTCCCAACCCAGAAAATCTCTCCGCAAAGGTAGAAGAGAAATAAGACAGTTTTATTACTGAATAAGGATTAAACCGGAATGGGATATGCTGTGATTGCAAAGTCAGAGATAAATCTCACCCTTTCATATAGCCAAGCACACACAATCCATTACACACTGTTCTCAAGAGAAACAACAGCTAGTCCTCAAATAAGAGGACTTTGACAGCAGCATTTGTCATATATATTCATCCTAAATTTATCTGGTGAATGGGATGGCCAGCTGGGTTTGCTAATTGGCTTTATCTAAAAGAAAAATAAACGTCTCATATCTATTACAGGAGGTAGATTTGCAACTTGGAGGGAGGCACCTACCACAGTTAGGCTCCTACCCTTCCACAGACACTGGGGAGAAAGGGGTGCTATTTTCCTCA